CAAACCCCTCCCTTCCATAAGCCTACTCTGCTCTGATTGGTCAGCTGGCCAAGCCTGCTGTGATTGGCACAGAGAGGAGTCCTTGAGCAAGTTAGCGAGCAAGTTACATAAAACAATAATACAGTGCTCCAATCCGTTTTTATAATAATGACATAAAATACAAAAACACTTATGCAAGCGAATTGTGCCCACAGCTAAAGTTTAGCTGCTAAACTGTTAACACGTAAAACAATAATGGTGGATACGTTAGCCAAGTGCTAATGTGACTAATTGATGAAACAATACAGTTTGTAAATCAAAGTCTACTGTAATGTTTGAATAACACCAGACAAAAGACGCTCTGTCTTAACTTTTAATCAGAACGCAGAACTAACACGTAAAACAATAATGGTGGATACGTTAGCCAAGTGCTAATGTGACTAATTGATGAAACAATACAGTTTGTAAATCAAAGTCTACTGTAATGTTTGAATAACACCAGACAAAAGACGCTCTGTCTTAACTTTTAATCAGAACGCAGAACAGCTGTATCACGGGCACACCAGCCTAACTAACTCGCTCGTCTCTCCCGCATTACCCTATAACTGCCGTCCGTGCAGCAAAATAAACAGCAATTTCACAATGATTATAAAGTCTGTGCGCTACACTACATTATTATTAAACGAAGTAATTAGAACAACGTCAGTATACATTAATCGACACATTATTAGGAAATAGTGGGTTCACAGCGAATTATCAAACTACTTGAGTAAGACAGTAATATTGTGCTTTACCTGGAAACCTAAAGCTGCACTAGGTGTACATCACGTATTAGCACAAAAACATGATATTTTGAGCACTCAATTGAAAATGTACACATAAACGTATCAATCGTACTTACAGATTGTGGTTCGGAGAGCTTGTTAGTCCAAATTAAAAAGATTAGAAGCCAACGAAGATAAAAGCCAAGATTAGAGAAGCAGTCCTTGGTAAAATGACACGCGCACAACAAAAGGTTGGAATTGTATTTCTGTGGTATCCTTAAACACAGCATCTTCTCAACATGATAAACACACTAACTAGCGGAAGTGTTTGTGGGCAGGTCAGACTCTGTTCAAATTTCGCGGGCAGGCAGGGATTATGCAAATGTGTTACCCAGTGACGTATACCGGTAACAGGCAAAAGATTTGAAAACATGATGACTCGTTAAGGTGATTCAGAATCGACTCTCTCTTTTGAGAGACGGTATCTTTATTTATCATGCACTTTTTTGATTAACAACTTTGCAGATTGTTTTCATTTAAGGATAGCTACATTATAAACGGCAAAAGAGATATTTTTCAAAAACCCATATGACCTGCTCTTTAAACACTGAGATGATTTCAGAATCACTTTACCCAGTAGTCGCAACTGGTTTTACTTGACTCGATATCTGAAATCAAATGCCGACCTAACGTAGTATGTTGTATAAAAATGTTTAACATACAAAAGTAAACACAATTGTCCTAATATTGGTTTATTATTGATATCTAAATGTGTTTTAAATGTCTATTAATTCCAATTATATTATTCAGATTCAGAATTAGCCCGAATCCATGAACACTGAATGTATTCATTAGAGGTCGACCGATTGTGGATTTTATCGATACAGATAGCAAGGTTGGACCACACTGGCCGATACCAATTAATCAACCGATAGTTTTTAAAATGGATACTAAACGAAAACTAAAACAGTGCTTTACTATTTTTTAAAAAGCAGTAGCACTACTGAACCGTACTTTGTAAATTAATAAACATATTAACATTAATTATTCTATTGATCATTAATGTTATTTCATAGTTTACTGATGTTAAAAGAAGAAACTTTAAAATTAAAAAATTTAGCCTATTAGTAATAGTAAAAGTTTAAATGGACACTAAGAACAATACTTCTACAGATTTTATTAATATTACAAATGGACTATTTTAATATTACATTACAATATTACAAATTACCATTTAATTTCAACAGTAATGCTTAAAGATGGCCATCTTTAAATATCTACACAAGGCCATAGTATTAAAATTACGTACATAGGTTATTGATATTGTATGTGTACTTTCACACTTTATTTGCTTCTATTTTAGAACACTGCATGATTATCTAATCAAAATAAAAACTATATATGTAAGTCACACACTGGGCAAAAGCGCAGCGCTGCCTCACAGGTATCAACGGATGCGTCACATTCAATTCAAGCGGCGGTCTAAAACTATTTAATCACCAAACGGATATAAGTTTGCTTCAAGAATGAACAATGTGGCATAAATGAGTTTTAAAAAAAACAGAGCAAAGGGAAAGAAAAAGTGCGATCTGTATTACAGCTGTCTATATGAAGCATACAGACTGTATTAGAGCCACAGAAAGAGCACAATACATAATTTATAGCCTAGGGTGAAGTCATTATGTACATTAACAATGATTTGGGACAAATATAATGTAATTTAGTTGAAAACTATGTGAATGGCGCTCTGTTCCGTGGCAGGATTTTCTGTCGGATTTTCTGTCGGCTGCATTTAAATGCGCGTTTAAAGGTGAAAGTTAGAACAAACAATTTTTACAAAAAAGTTCACAAGACACACACAGTTTGGACAATAAAAGAAGTTGAGAACAATTATTGTCTGTTCAGTGGTTTTTATTTATAAAAAGAGAGATGAGTTGTCCAGGCACTTGTGTAGTGCCATTTTTATGTCATCCCACTTGTGTTGGGGCACATGACTTTTCCCATGGGCCCCCCCTGACTGGTTCTTGGTCCCCCCCTGTGCCACCCCATTAAAAAACATCCTAGAATCGCCCCTGCTTTCAGAACCATAAAGGTGTAGATAAACATGTGCCATTGTGAGTTTCTCATTTATATATAGTATTTTTGTTCTCCCCACAGTTTTGGAAAGAAAGATGTCGATGAGGAGGCCAAGACAGGAACTGATCGAGCAGGGAGTGCTCAAGGAGCTTCCTGACAATGGTAGGAGAGAGAAGTGTGTGTGTGTGTGTGTGCACCTCAAGCTTTCTTAACCATATTTTGTACCAAGCAGTTTGTACCCTGGAGCCCTCTATGAACACCTTGGCAATTGAATTGCCATTGGCTAGTAATTTTTTTTTAGTTTGCTCGCCAGACTGATAGATAAATAAATATATATATGTATGTATGTATATATATATGTATGTGTATATATATATATGTATATATATATATGTATGTATGTGTTTGTTTGTAAAATGGCACAGTTTTATAAATATCTGAAAGTGCACTCTTAACATCAGTCAGTCAAGCATTATAATATGATGATTAATATTATTTAATGATAGAACATTAGTAATTAGAATTAAAACTTGATAAACTTGTATGAATGCATATTAGTCATTTTAACTGAACTTCAGACTGGTGGTGGTGCTTTTTTGGTCATTCGGTGTTTCTGTAAAAAAAATAAAAAATTGGGGAAAAACTAACAAAAATACTGATAAGATAATAATGATCACACTAGAGTTTACGGTACGTTAAATACAGGTGCGTTGCACATCCTTTCAGATGAACTGAAAAACAGCACAGATCGCTTGGCGGAGAGTGAAACTCTGAAGTGCTCAGTCAGAGAGTGTTCGGCGAGTGAAAATATATCTGAGCTAAACTTATACTTGGCCTCCAACTCACACACTGGCGAGTAAAATCTGAGAATTTATTAGCAATTGGCTAATATTAGACATAATTTAGTCGCCCAGAGTGAAGATTTAGTCGCGTATGCGAGTGATTTACTCGCAATGTAGAAGGTTGTACCCTGAAGCGAAACCGGGCAAAACCTCTGTTTGGGGATGTCTTCATTTTCTAAAAATGGTATAAAAACAAAGTAAATAAAGTGTTGTTGTTGTTTTTTTAAATTATACAAAATGCAGAAAGTTTTCTATTAGGGTTAGGGTTGGGTTACAGCATTTATAACTCGCTTTAAATAAAAACTGTTTGTGTGTGTGTGTACATGCCAAGAACATGAATGTTTATTCAACTATGGACACTTTTATGTTCCAGAGGTTGATTTTGAGAGATTGACTTTTTTTTTTATTAATTAACCATTTTAGTTAACTTTATTAATTAAAAAATTTGCCACTTTTAAAGTGCTTTTTATGTATAGATGTTTGTTTGTTTGTTTTCTCCACACCCAGAACCTTCAAAAAATATATCATAATGCATCACAAAATATTATTGCAACTAGTGTTGTCACTGTACCAAAATTTCAGTATTCGGTACTAATACCAGTGAAAATCCACGGTTCTCGGTACCAATTTCGGTACCAAAGCAAAACACAAAAACATGCTAATGTACAACATTTTTATAAATAATGTTAAACAAAAATTAAATGTACAAAACCAATGCCATTCTTTATACTTGTTTCAAGTTTTTCCACAAGTAATAAAAGTATGAAAAAAGTAAACAAGTTTCACTCAAAAGTTTAGTCATAGTTCTGCTGCCACTGAAAAACATCTGTAAACTGATCTGGAAAACTGTTACTACATAATAAAAATATTAATGATGCATATTTTCAGTAATGAAAAAGGTAATGAAAACTCGTATGACATTATTTCCACCATATAACAAAAAGGAGATGTTAAGCAATATGTTCATGCTGCTCTTTTCTTTACAATGAAAGTGAATAGTGACCTGTGGCTGTAAAACTCCAAACAGCATAATAACCGAGGTTCATATGGATTTTGCACTATATTCCAATTGTTGTGAAGTCATAAATTACAGCAACTTTTGTTGTTTTGCATTGAAAACTTTCCCTTTAGATCTTAAATCTTATTTGTGCTGTTTGAATATTCACATTTTGACATTTGGCATAATGAAATTGGTCCTGAGACATACAATCCAATGATATTTGGCATTATGGATGTCATACCTGTTGTGATACATCTTGACACACCGTAAGTGATATGAATGAGATTTCAGACACACAGCAGAGGAGAAAATAAAAATAGTATTTTCCTTTTTTTTTTTTCCTGACGCAAAGATAATGTGTGTTTTCAGAAAACATTACATAGTTTAGAGCAAAAGTCATATGGGCTTCTTTAATAGTGCTTTTTGTATATATTTTTTTTTTATATATATAATTTTCCCCCCTTTGTTTTCAGAATCAGGTGAGGCCCATGGCCACAAGACACCTTATGTGAAGAACGGTCACACTCTGCCTGTAGGAGTTGGGGGAGGTCTGGGGCTAGAGCAGATACACTCGCCCACTGAATCTGAATTTAGAGTCAACCCTGTCTGGCTGCCGCAGCCCGATGACCGCAGAGGTCGTGCCCCTTCTGATGGGGATCATCATGGAGCATTGGGCCCCCGGGCCTCCAATTGGTCTGTTGGGACAGAGGACTGGAAATCTAATCTGGCCTGGCAAGGAGATGATATCCGACATGGAAGACTGCATGCTGAAGTGGACAAGAGGCCTGGGCTAATGAAAGCCCCCTCTGAGGATGGACGCAGGACTCGCCCCGAATCGGACTGGAAGCCAACGCTTCCTCGCCACTCATCTGTCGAAGAGGGAAGGGGAAGACAAGGTTTGTAGGATCAATTCTTATAATTTTTCTCTAGTTCCCTTTCTACCTTCCTCTTCTTTGTTCTCCACACTACCACCATCACTTCCTCACCTTCTGTTGGGCCAACTGGAGTGAGACAAGTGTCTGTGTTCCCATGGGTTCTGCTCCAGCTAAGGTTCTTATTTAGGAACTGAGCTCAGCTAAGCTGAATTCTCCCGTTGTTTCCTTATTAATAAACCACAGTCACCTCAATCCTCATCAAAGTGAACATTATCATTTAGTCCTTTGGAGACAGATTTGTCCCTCCACTAGGTGTGATGATACAGTTTTAATTTAAATTATTCAATCACTATTCAAATGTTGCTTCATGTTTGGAGCAATGTAGTTTATATAATAAATGTTTTTAGCTTAATATTTAATTTTGACACTCTGAAATTAAATTAAATTAAGTTGTCACTTTAAAATAAATCACTTTTTTTCATTTTCAATCAATTTAACCAGCCATTTTAGCACTTAAAACTGTTTAATATGAGACAAATACAGTAAAAAAATATACGGGGGGGGGGGGTAATTTTTGTGCCCGAAGCGTGAATCCGCATTTAGAAAGGCTCAACATTGTGATGTCTATCAGCCATCGGCGATGGATGATGGCGTCGTCTATCGGCCCAACCCTAGTTTATATGTTTATTATGGTATTTATTCATATTTTGAATTAGGCTTTATTTTTATATTTTTTTTAATTTTCTTTTATTTTTTGTTTTAAATTGTAGTGATTTACTAATGTTCTTTTAGCATTTTTATTAGATATTTTTTGTAGTTTTTAAATGTTTTTAATATTTATATTTATTTTTATTCCAACTTTATTTCAATAAACTACAACTGTTATACTATGTTTAATAGTTTAAATTTTAGTTTTATTTTACAATAACACTGTGTCGTAACTGAATCGCTGAATCAGAGTTTTCAGTGTGAAATTTAAACTTAGAAGTATTTAACAACACTAATTTCAGATCAGCTTGAGTTTTTAAGAGGCACAAACTAAACAACACAAAATAAACATTTTAATTTGTTTTTCTGAATATTATGTATTCTCTTACAGAGTCTGACAGCAGTCAATACGTTCCTAACTCAGAGGTTTTGAGGGACACACTGCGGGAACCTCTGCCCCCCAAGCAGTCCGTCATGCCACCAAAATGGCTGATGACTTCCACACCGGAACCTGGTGCTGACAGCTTGCCCCGCACTCCTGTCCACAACCCTGCATCTGCTTTCTCCTCTTCCTCTGCCTCCTCCAACTCCTCCTCCTCAGCTCTCAGCACAGCTGGAAAACCGCTACGAAATGTATCCTCAGCTGGCGCCAACACACAGACCTCCAGCAGCGCTCCCCTTACCACCTCTTCAGCACCATCCTCTATGGGCAATGGCCCAGCCCAGCCCACCAAACAGCCCCCTCTCCCTCCACCCAAGCCAATCAACCGTAGCAACAACCCTGCCATGTTGGGTGAGTGGTCACAAATATGTCATAAAAGATATAACTAGTGGTTGACCGATGTTGTTTTTTTGACAGCCGATGCCAATATCTTGGAAAAGCAGGGTGGCCGATATAAAGCCGATATAATTGTATTTATTTTAATTAATATTTAAGAAATTTGAAATAATTTGAAAATGGATTAAAAAAATGAATTTGTAAAATAAACATACTTTAGATGACAAAGTATTTTTCACAAATAAATATTTAATAAAGATATAATTAAAAAGTAAGTAAACTGTAACCAACAGCACTCAATATTCTGGGAAGTTTGTGTGCATTGGGAATCATATTTTTTCAAATAAAGCCAAGGTAACACTCATTTTACATACAGCACACAGTGAAAATGACATGAATATGACAGTGGGCAAATGCATAAAGCGCAGCATAATTTGAAATCACGAATTTAATGTTTAAAGCATTCTATTTGCATGGACCGAAAGTCACGCAGAGAACACGCAAACATGCAGGTCACATGCACACTTCACAATATCTCACAACTGGATTCGACTAAGTTTGCAAGGTTTGTGAAATTACATTTTTAAGATTAAATAAAGATTTGTTTAAATAATCTTATCATTTATTGTTAAAATAATAAAAATTTGCTGAATGCTGATGGCAAACGAGAAAGTATTATAATGTTTGCCTTTCTATTACTAATAATATAAAAGCAATCGTTATAATACTTTTTGTATACATTTTAATTCCTTTGTTTAAAAGTTCTATCGGATTATTAACGACGACCGCGAACAAGAGGGAGAATGTGAGCACGGTGTGCTCAGGCACTGGTGCTCTCTGCGCCGTCAAAATAAAAGTCCCGACTCGAACGTATCGGCCAAACAGAGAAACTTATCAGCCGATGCCAATTTTTTTTAAATCCCAAATATCAGCCGATATATCGGCCTTGGCGATATATCGGTCGACCACTAGATATAACATGACCCCTTATAAAAGTCAGTGAAATTACTAGACACAATTAAATTGCTTCCTCATTCGAATTCCTCATGCATAATTAATTATCCCTATTAAATGCACAGGCATGGGTGTAGATTTGGGTATGGATAGTTAAGGCATGTCTGTACAAAAATACTGTGCTACAAATCACCACAGATGACTCATCTTTTAGTATTAAAATTTGTATTTTTATTACTACTTATATGATATAATATAATACTTCGATTTATGATGTTTATTTATGTATTTATGACAGTATTTATATTCTAAAATATTTTAGTGTATAAAAGATAGTAGATAAATATACTTGTAAAAATCCCTTTTCTAAACTGAAACAACTAATCAGCAGTGGAAACATTTGGTGAAAGTGAAAGGTGAGGAGAGGTGAAAGTGCTGTGCAATTGTTTTAGGCAAACTTATAGTGCAAAGGAGGAAATTTAAAAAATGCTCACTGAGGGAAGGGAAGTCAAAACAGCTTAGAATTAAAATGAGAATTTCGGTAATCTTCAGATACTTTCACACTTCAATTTCACAGTTGTTAGATACTGTGACAACTTGCATATATAGCAAGGAAATCCTTTAATACATAAAGATTGCAGTATTAATCATTTCTGTCTGGGTTTGTAACTGTGTATTGGTGAAGTTTGAAAGATTTTATAATATTCTAACTATTCAAAGCAAACCTACTGCTCTTGCTCACAGGCACACACTACAGCATATCATACAGATACACTGCTGCTTATATGTTTGTTAGAGCATTTTTAACAAGAATTCTATGACTATTTTTACTTCAATATATTTTCTAAGCATTTAGACATTGTGACATGCAGTGCTGCCAAAAAAGAAACGTGAATTGTTAATTGCATTAAAATCATGTACATGTGTGCCATGTCATACATCATAAGATCTTAGCCATGTATTTAATACACTTCTGCTGTTCTGTGCTTGCTGAGACAATTTTTTTCTTTTGGGGCCCTGACCCTTAAGCTGATCAACTTGATAATAGTCTTTGATTGCGAGAAACTGAGTTATTACTAAAAACAATGTTTTCATTTATGCTTGGATTATCTTGGATTTGTCGTTTGTCCCTGGTTACTGCGGAAAAACAATAGGCATGCTTGTTCCAATTTAATGGGAACTCTTTCTTATTTGGGAGAATTTGTCCATTAAATGTGTTTGTTAAATCATGTGAGAAGTTCTCCTCACAACCGCATGCAAAATTTAATCTCGCTGATACCAGTATCTGATGTTGAATATGGTTTTGTCAGTGCTTGACTTAAACTATGAAATATTGTAGCCTATTTAGGGGAAATGATATGTTGAATGTAATCATGCGGAAAAACAATAGGCATGCTTGTTCCAATTTAATGGGAACTCTTTCTTATTTGGGAGAATTTGTCCATTTAAATGTGTTTGTTAAATCATGTGAGAAGTTCTCCTCACAACCGCATGCAAAATTTAATCTCGCTGATACCAGTATCTGATGTTGAATATGGTTTTGTCAGTGCTTGACTTAAACTATGAAATATTGTAGCCTATTTAGGGGAAATGATATGTTGAATGTAATCTATATATTCAGTTTCATATAATGAATGGTATATTTAAGCAGTATAATACAACAGTCCTGCTGAATTGAAAATCTGTATGGCAGTGATTTTGTCCATAGGCACAGAGTATATTATTTTGTATTTAATTTAATTTTAATTTTTTTAAGCCAAAGCATCAAGCTTTTCAGGATTTGAAATATCAAAACATTGTGTCTCAAACATTAAATCTCCACACAGCCTCCTGCAGTCCATTTGGAAAGCAGTCAATAAGCATGTCAGTCGGTGAAATGCAGAGCCGTACATCTCATTTGTGTGTTGTTTTACTGCTTATAAACAATGCGCTGAGTCTCAGTACACTGGAACGATCCAGATCTTTGTTGAAACACAGCTACCAGACTGTAGCTCTGCTGCATTATAAGAGTAGATATTGTGCATAGGTCTTGCTGACACCATTTGTGTTAGTAACTGTAACATGGTTGGTTGCACAGTGCTGTGGCATTTTTGTTGCTGTAATGAAAGTTGTTAGCTAGCTCAACCTAACATGTTAAAGGTGCTGTTGACATCTTTGTATAATCTAGGTATTCATATCTATGGCTTTAGCTGGTTGTTTATCTCACATATGCATTTAAAGTCAACATGAATTGCCAATTGCAACCCATTTTACTTTCATAATGTGACATATTTCCAAGTAAAATTTAAATAGCCAAGTAAAAATTAAAATCCGAAAGAAAAAAAATAAACAAGGAATTGGTTTGATTTTAAAATTTGACAAATTTTGTGAAATGCCTTTAAGGTTGATGAATACCTAAAACCAATAGCTATCTATTTGGCTATTGCTTAATGTTATCCAATCCGCTTGTTAAGTAATGACAAATACTGTTTCCGGGTCCAAGCCTCTTTTTCCACTGAGAATATGATATCAACAGCCTTTTATGAGAACCATGAAGTCATACTTAACAAGTGGATACACGTGGCCGAAGTGACATGACCAGAAAAGGAAAGTTGTTTCATGTAATATTTTGATTAGATATTAGGAACAATTTTTTTCTGTAAAGTAACCTGCACTGATGAATGATTCACAATAAGACCAGGAATGTGCATTAGGAAAATAAATGGGGTCAATTTTGACTTCACGTTGACTTTAAAAACCTTCTGTGTGTAGTGTCACCGCCATGCACACTGGTATGATGTTTAGAGGAATAAGTCGTCCCTGCTTTGTAAAGATATGTGTTGTTTTACGCCCGGGGACTGTGTGTTTTTGTACCCCGCCAGCCTCCACCCTGCATGGGGGTGACGGCAGCGATTTCCCCCTCTACTGGTCCTGTTGGAAGCGTGAGGGTGACCATGACGTCTACCTGTCCCTGCCTGTCTACCTCTGCCGGCGGGCAGGAGGCATGCACACAGGTAAACGTTGAGGCCAGGCCTGTCGCCAAAGCTGCGTCCTTCATCTGCTGCCGTGCGCGCTATAGCCTCATCTTTCTCACCCTCAGCAAAGCATGACTTTAGTGCACCACCTGAGCGTGGGACTAACGCGCCCCCCTTGCTGCTTCTCATCTGTTCTTTCACTCTCACTCACATTCTCAATTGCAAAACTGCATGTTTCGGGCTTTAAAGCTTTCATAAGCGTGCAGCACGTTGGCACATTTTTAACAGGTGTTTAAACGACTAGAAGACCCCCTGTGGAATTGAGGCGATCTTACCCATCGCTGCTGGAAATGCCCCGTCATGCCAAAGCAGATGCTAGCATATGTTTTGTATAAGATACTCCAGGCAACAGTTGCTCCACAAGCAGCTGTGAGATTAGAGAACGAGGACTGAATCCAGGCCACCTCATCGCATGCTGAAAGCCTGTGGGTTGCTTAGATTTAGAGCTGAAATTCATGCATTTGATTCGTAGAGAGGCAGCTAGGCTAACCCAAAACATGCTTAAACGTGCAGTTAGCATGTTTAGTTTAGTTTATGCTTTCTCACAAAAAGAATGTTTGGCTGCTGTACTTCATTATACTTTTTTCACAGTTATGTGAAGAGGAAATCATCTGCAAGTCATGTGACATGGGCTTCAGAATGCTTTGATTTAAGTCACATGGCTTTTTGTCAATGAACTTGCTTGCTTGGAATATGTTCTATAAGAAGTTGGTCTTTGGTGATGTTATTGGCAAGTCGGGTTAAGAGCCATTTGATTCTACTAATATGATATCACTAATCTGAAATATGAAAACTTTTAAACTCTGTGTTCATCAAAAATGAAATTTCCGTCGTTTACTCACTTCATGTCATTCCAAACCTGTACTGAATGCTTTTTACCATACAGTTACATTGAGTTTTCACACTTCATAAATGTAGTCCGTATGACTTCTAAAAGCATACAATAACTTTATATAACAGACGGAAAGCCATTTTCACTGATGATCTTTTGTGCAGTGTTATTTCAGTATGATTTATATATTATAATGTTTATTATTATTTTGAATGATCTTTTATATTTTAAGTTAAAATTTTATAGTAATTATGTGCTTGTCGTCACTTTTAATATTTTTTGTTTGTCTGTTTATCTTTAATTTATAACTGATTCTGTTAGTTGCCGAGGCAACATTTTAAAATTACGTTTAAGTTTAAACTTTTCATTTAATATTTATATTTGTTTTATTTTATTTCAGCTTTGTAAGGAAAATGAATTTTAATAGTTTCGTTTCAGCTAAAAATAACAATACTGCTCCTGGGAGCTGAATTAATGAGTCAGGGAGTTAAACTTGAGAACAAATTATTTTGACTGGTTTTATGATCTCATTTCATTGACAAGATGTGTCCTCCTTTCGTCTTCATTGGAAGAAAGGCATACAGTTTTGGAATGGAATGAGGACGAGTAAATGATGGCAGAATTGTAGTTTTTAGGTGAACTGTTCCTTTAAAGGGGTCATATGATGCGATTTCAATTTTTTTTCTTTCTCTTTGCAGTGTTACAAGCTCTTGGTGCATAAAGAAGATCTGTAAAGTTGCAAAGACTAAAGTCTCAAATCCAAAGAGATATTCTTTATAAAATTTAAGAGTCAACCACGCCTACCTAAAACAGCTCGTTCTAACACGCCCCCACATGTCTCCGTCACGATGTGGGAAGATTTGCATAACGCCGCACAAATGTTCACGCAAAGAAAGAAGGTGTAACTTTTATTCTCGCTGTATTCCGGTTGTTGCGGCCACCGCGATGTCGTGATGGCGCTGTGTGTTTTGTTGTGAAAGCGAAACTACTTTGTTTGGCCTTCCGAAAGAGGATGATATCCGCTTCGTCATGCCTGGAGCTGATCGCCGGATCGGCTTTCACCGTGGACGAAGCGGAGTCCAGCCCGGGGTCGTCACATGTGGTTGTCGCAAGCCCGCCGGACACTCCTTCGTCGAATCTGCCGGCTGCGCCGTTCTCAAGCCCGCCCGCCACCACTCACTCAAGCCGGTCTCCGCTCACTCTAGGCCTCCAGCTTCCGCTCACTGTAGCCCGCCGTGTGTTTCGTTGTGAAAGTGAAGCTACTTAGTTTGGCCTTCCAAAAGAGGACACGACTAGAAATCAGTGGTTAAGTTGTATTTACAACACTGTTCAGTTCAACCCAAATATTCAGATGTGTCCAGCGCATTTTATGGAGGACTGTTTCCTGATCCTGG